GCTTGAAAGTACACCCTCAAGAGAGAAAGGAGAATGGAGGAAATTTTTTTGTTTAAATTTCCCCCCACCTCCATTTTTCCTAAATAGTAATCAACTATGGACTAGCAGGATTGTGTTTAGAGTAGACATGTTTGCACATTCATAGAATAACATGGTTTTTTTTATCAGGTTAAGGCTTCCCTCCTACTAAAGTTTCTTAAGTTGTTCTACTCCTTGCCTGTGGAGAGGGAGAATCTGGAAAACATACTTCTTCCTGGGAAGAACTCTGATTGATGCTTTCCCCTTTTCTCCTCACCTTGTGTGATGGATTATATACCAGCAATCATTACTGCCTGGACCATTTCAGAAACAAGAGAACTCCATGAGTCTTTTGTGAGCATCTTCAAGTGGAAGCTGACCTCTGTGATTTAGTTAGTATTGACTCTTTGTTTTTCTGTAAAGAGCGGTGAGTAATATTGGTGTTGAAGAACACAATTTGTTCAAAAACATCTTGAGATCCATTGTATATTTGAGTTTTCTCTGAGGTAATGGTGCAGGGTTACAATGTCTAACTTGCATAAGCTGTTGTTGGCCAAATCAAATACAGTTGTGTATGAAATTTTAGAGAGTATGTCCTTTATTAGTTTCTGCCTGCTGTATGCTTGCAAAAGAGTAGAATGTGTACGAGGTGTTTGTATACGAATCTTTAATGGCCAGTCTTCGCGAAGATTTGGGAAAGGTCATTAACCCTTCGAGCCTGCGCAGTGGATTTTTTCAGGTGGGACACAGCGTGCGCTGAACTGAGCCCACCCTTTAATCCTGAGGTTCATCTGCCGGGGCCGAGCAAGCTTGGACAGTGGCAGTGAGGGTCTCAGGACGTAGGTTTGTTTAGAGTGACCTTCTCTTAGATAGATGGCCTCACAGGGCTGACGAGCTCCATCTGCCCGGGGGGCTGGGAATCGAACCTGGGTCGCAGCGGTGAGAGAGCAGCACCCTAACCACTAGACCACCAGGGGCCCCATACGAATCTATGATCAACTAGTATCCATATGACATGTAAAAGTGCAAATTGTTCATCTTATTTCTTGCCTGTCTCTCTGTCCAGCAGTTGAGCTCATCCTGCTTTCGTCGTGTCTCCTTGTGAGCTTTCTGTGAAACAGGTGGTGCTTCATGCTGGAAGTGGTTGTTTGCTTTCTCTCCTGAGGAAGATGTGCTCTAAGCTTTGCCATCTGCTTTCTTATCAGTGGAGTTAAAACATCATGAGAACTATATAGCAAGGCACAGTTTTATGAAGGGAGATGAAAGAGAGGAGGATGCTTCTGCAGTCCCTTTCATGATCATACAGTAATGCTGTTCCTCCTCCCCCATGAAATTAGGACTACGTTTACTCTGATAGAGCTGTCTGTGTAAGAAACATTTCAGTGTTTCTTAACTAGTGACTGTTTGCTGGGTACAGGAATTCCTTAGCCTACCTTACGTCTCTAAAATGCAATATTTTGTTCCCTCTTCTGTATTTCTCATGTGGGTTTTTAGTTCAGTAACAAAGATAAGGAATTAGTTACTATCTGGTTACAGTGGAGAAGATGAGGAACTAAACATATCTGGAATTGGTGTTTACTTGACCTTGAAAACTCAAACGTAAGGTGAAAAGCCTTCTTGCAGTATAGATCAGCATGCACTCTGTTTAGTTCGCTGCTTGCCTTGTGCATTTATGCCATGGTCTGTGCTATGTCTGATCTCCTGAAGCTTTCAGACCTCTTACACGCCTTCATTTGTTTATTGTAGGAACAGGAGTTTACAGTAATGATGTTTATACTAAAGATGGGTAAACCATTACAGCAAGAAGAGAAACCATCATGAACCTTTGCCCTGAACTCAACCCAAACTCTTTTGTGATTTTTAAAGTTCTGTTTCAGTTTTCAGTGTCACTGTACTTTGTTCCATCAGGACTAGAAATGAGTGCCAAAACATAAATGGTATTTCCAGTGTCAACCTCAGATTTCACAAGCAAATCTGCTCTTTTTGCCGGGGAGTGCGGAGTTTCTTAGACCTCACAAATTTTCGTAGTGAATATAACCTTTTTCAACTTCTGCTGCTCAGTGCAGCTAGCTCAAATTGCTTATCCAGTGAGGCTTGCCCGTCACTATTTTGTATGGGACAAGATACTGTTTATTGAACTATTAAGCATTCCTAGGGGAATGTGTGCAGATGATTGCTTGCAGCTGAAATACTAAACCAGAAAGTGCGGTGTAGCTGCATTTCCTTGCTATTCCAACAAGGATGTAGGGACTGTCTGACTTTGGCCTCCTCCCTGCTAAATGTGTTGTAGATGTGTCGTCAGCCACTTCTGTGAAATTATAGTGGATCTGCCCAGTGGAGAATATGAAAGTAAACTCTCTAGGCTCTATCAGTTTTGTTTTGAGAACAAAATGTGACTAATGTGCTTCTGGAACCTGTGTTCCTCCAAATTTATTTGCTGTCCTGTAGGCTTTTCTGTTTCATATCCCAGACTTGGAACCAGGTAGAACTGTCTGTCTACTAGAGTCTGATATATTAGTAGGGCCAATCTTCGGAGCAACCAATTCAGGTTTTGCCTGTTTCTCCTTTCTGCTCCTGAGGAGGAACAGTCTTTCATCTTCCCTTCCTCCCCCTCTCTCTCTGTTTATTGTTGTATCCGAGAATGATCTGATGTTTGTTTTAACACTGAGATGAAGCTGAATTCACTGCTGTCCAGTACTCTTTAAAGTTGGTGCGCTACTTGAATATTTATATCATGCTGACATTTGCTTATGTTAAAGAAGGCATTATTTCCTTGGAATATTTATCATAGTATCCCGGAATTTCCATGTTGAACTGCTGCTGGATCTCAATGTTGTATATAATTACCTGTGTCCAAGCCCAGTTGCCTTAGGAAGTTAACTTTCAAAGAACAACAGCTACCTTTGTGACACTTGCTAGCTGAAGGAAGAACTGGCAAGGATTTTTCCTGGACTGATGTGGAGCAGCCTGGAAAGAAGACACACACATCCAATTCAGCTATATAGGTAGCTTTGTCTAGCTCATTATGGGAAAAGTAGAGAGTCATTTCCCTGCACACCTGGCATCACAGAGTGCCTATATCCAATGTGATCTGTTGACCTAGTTATGGTCTGGGATGGAAAATATGATTTGACATCTTTTGCATCCTGTTTTTTCCCCCTGATTTCCACCAGTCCCTTTCCCAAAGGTTAAGGGGGAAGGGTTGTTACAGAATCCAGTTCCTGCCTTCCTGACACACTTTGAAGCTCTGACCCCCTTTGTGCATAGAATAGAAATGACCAGCTTGAGGCTTGATCAGATCTCAGCCTCCTGTTGTTTCCCATCAGCTTATATGACTCTCCCGGGCTTCTGGGGCTGGAACTACTCTTTTGCTGCTGTGCATAAAGAGGCACCGTGATTTATGAATCAATTAATCACTGCATGCTGAGGAGCTGTTCACGGTAGTTAAACAGTGAAAATAAAATGCTCAAGTATATTATAAAGATGGATCATAATGAATATGACCCTCTACCAGTGAATTTTCTCCCTCCCTATATTATACCCCTACCCACTTTTCCAGCACAGCCACACTATCAAGACATGAAATTTGTCTATCTCGATGGCACAGGGTTCATCAAATTACTTAATTACTTGATAAGGGCACTGCCTATTTGTGGGATTTTTTTTCCCCTCACACACACATGTATTCTTTCAGTCTGATTTCAGTTTGCTGCTGAAGCTATTAGAGCCACAAAGATGGAGAGAATAAAAAAGATTCTGATACTACTGATTAAATCTTTTTGAGTAGTCATAAGAAAATCCACCAATAAGTCTCCAAAAATTAAGGAGGGGCAGGTGAAGTCTGCCCTGCTTAGTCTGTAAAACCACAGAAATGTGGTGTGAAAATTCCAAGAAATATTTCCGTCAAATCACTGTCACCTTTTTGCTCTGTGTACCACACACATCATTGCTGTGAGTTTCTGAAACTGTGTGATACTGTAAGAAGTAGCCAAGTTTGGTGCTAAGCCTCCGTTAAGACTGCTGTTTGGCTTCAGAACTTACTGAAGCACTTTGCAATTTGGACCAGCATTCATATCAGGGTGGCATATTGCTCTGTGGGGAGCACCACTGGTGTTCAAATACCTACCTGTGAGATAAGGCTATGAGGCAAAAGGCTTTAAACTTGATTATGTGGTTTTGCACCAAAACTATGCCTTCCGAGGAAAAAATTACTCTTAACAGATTATTAACTCTATACATGTTGTATTTTATAAATAAAATTATTACTTTATTTTACATTATCAGCAGATACCCAAAATAGTGGTAGAACATTTCAGTAACAGAAAGGTGATTTGTTTTCATTTGGATTTTTTTAGGGTTTTTCTGGGGTGGATGGGATTTGTCTGAAAAGTACATTCTTGGTAAATGACTTTATCAACTATTCATCTGTTTTGGATTCTGAAAAGGATTTTGGGAAAGTGATAATACTTCTGTTTTTTCATTTTGTTTCTTTACAGCAGTCTTTGAAGTGTTGCATTTTTGTTGCAGAGTATTTCCTGGGTTTTCTGAGTACCAAAAGCTGGCATCGATGAGCAGATGGATTTATGAACCTTGCTACAAGTCCACTGGCTATAGTGGAGTTGCTCTTAATCTCACCTGTGTAACTAAGAGTAGATTTCATTCAAGCCAGAAACTAGGTGCAGTGGTGTGAAGCAAGTTAATTCCATTTCTCTGCTATGCATTGAAACTTGCAGTGGAATTACAATATTTGCTACTTATCAGTAAAAGTAAAAGAATTTTTTTCTTTCCAACACAATCCAGTTGCTCAGATTTGTTCAGCTCTGCTGCTGGCATATGTTGACTGTATCTAATGACCTTTGTTTGCATTCTAAGCTTATCTCATAAACTGGCTTTTGAAATACAGTAATAGTGTTTCACTGTGATGACCATGGTTAAACATTTCTCTTCTGTCCTCTCCTTACCCTTCTCTGTTTGATTTTTAGGACCTGGGTTTCTCTTCAGTGATTCATGAGAAGCTTCAAGTTCCCAATACCATTCGTAAGGCATGGAACGAGAAGGACAACAGATGTGATGTTTGTGCCACACACCTGAACCAACTGAAGCAAGAGGCCATTCAGATGGTGCTGACCTTAGAGCAAGCTGCCAACTCAGAACATTACGATGCCTCGCCAGGCTCTCCCCCACCTCTCTCCAATATCCCCACGTTAGTGAGTCCCCGGCACATGGGCAGCCTGCAGCCCAGGGACTGGGCGTACATGCCTTCTCCTTATGCTACATCTAACTATACAGGCTTTGTTGCCAACAAACACAGTGGAAAACCCAACAGTTTAGGAATCGGCAACGGGGTGGAGAAAAAAAATGGCTCTCCTGGACACCAAGCTAAGGTCAGCTTTCAAATGGCCACCAGCCCCAGCAACGGTAATGTTCTCAACTCTGTGGCCATCCAGGCCCATCAGTACCTTGACGGCACTTGGTCTTTGTCAAGAACGAATGGAGTCACTCTATATCCCTACCAAGTAAGTATTTTCAAATAACAGAACATGTTTGTTTTCCTCCCATTAAAGCTTGCATGGGCATACTAACATGGCTTGCTCCTGTAGGGTAGGAGCGGAGCCATTTGAATAGGGAGCACCAGAACAAGGAGTGAGATAAACTTCTGTTTCCCTGATAGGGGATTGAGTTGGAGGAGACACAGATCAAAAGCAGAGGTAATTAGAACACCTTTTATAAATTCAACTGTTATTAAGAGCAGAACCGAGCTGTTGTTTTTAGTAGCAGATAACTAATCATACATTATATGCAGTTATTTGCTCATACAGTTACTTTCTCTCAGGATACTTGGTTGGAGCAACAGCTGGGAGCCAATCACACTTGTTTACTCGCAAGTGGAAGGTGGCACTAATGCACCAGTGACTTCTGAGTTGGAATTCAGGAAGGATCCAGGTCTTTTATTTCATCATATGTGTATCTTGATCCTTTGACTACATATAGCAGGCACTAACTTCAACATGTTCTAAGTTGCCTGCATTCTTGATGCTAGTGTGCTGGTGGCCTTCTGCAGGTTCAGCTGATTCTTGGTGTTTTGATTTTTATCAATTCTCATGGATTCAGGATGTCCAGTAACCTTCAGATCTCAGAAATTCTGGGAGATTTTCAAGTACTTCTCAGCACGGTCTTTTCCTTCTCTTTGACCTGCTGTTTTCTGGTACGCCACACCCATAAATACCTGTAGAATCCATCCATGGCACAGAAGAAGCTTTTTCTGATGCGCTGAACTGTAGCTGGTGGGATTTTCAGAGTGCTCAAGCACTTGCAGACTGGGACATAAGCCTGTTCTTCCCGTGTTCTCACAGCCATCCCTGTTGGCTTCCTTAGGCCTGTAAATAACTTTGAAAGTTGGTCTTTCTATTAAGTTATGAAAATAGTGCAAGATAGATCCCTAAATTAATATTTAACTTTTTTTAGTATAAGTAATTGATAATACAGCCAGAAAAATGTGAAGTTATTCATAAGCATTAAGATATTGTCATGCACCAAAGCAAACTAGGTAAAACCAGAAGTTATTTTATCTACAGTTATTTTATCTGGAAAATATCTGACTTTATGGTTTTGTGATTTATGCTCTAGTGAACCTAAATCACATTTGAGTAGGTCAGTATGTGGTCATATTTTTGATCTCAGAAAAAAAAAATCTGATCTAAGTTTGAACTAAGAAAAAAAAAGCCTAAACAAAGAATGTACATTAACAAATCTGAATAACTATTGTTTGTATTAGGAAAATTAATTCAGTTTTATTGCATTCACAATCTCTTAGGTTTATCTGTGAAAATGTGGGGTTTGTTTACTTTTTTATAATTTTTGCATTTCTAGATGATTCATTTTGACTTAAAAATATTCACTAAGGAGAATCTAATATTCAAAATTGTCCAAATTGATTCTATGTATTAACTGGCTCCAGTTAAATTAAGGACTCTTCCCTACCCTTCCCTTTCAATAAACATGAAATAAAAAATATTGCCTGCCCTTCAGACCCCCCCTGCCAAAAAACTCCAAAAAAACCCCACACAAAAACCAAACTAACCCCTCAGAAAACAGCAAAACAAACAAACAAACAAAATCTGACAAACCCAAACAAACCTAGCAGTGTTGGTCTTTGATAGAAGGTTTTTATTGTTTCATTGTTTTCTTCAAGATTCTAGTTTCAAATGTTGAAATTCTCACTATACTCAAATTGTCACATTTAATTCTCCAGTTCAGAAATAATAATGATGGCTTTCATCTTTAAACACAATAAAAAGAATTTAGTGTTTGTTTACATAGTGTCTGTATTCTGTATCAGACTGGGAATCAGTCAAGCAAGAAGAAATGCTTTTAAATGTAATTTACTTGTAGTTTCAAATATTGGGAAGATGCAAGCTTTGCTTTTTTTCTGCTTTTGTGTGCAGAAACCAATCTTACTTGCTACACATTTTAGATTTCTGTCCCACATAATTATATTTTTGTTATGCACTTACAGTTACAAAACTCTGCTGGGGAAGAGCACTAGGAAGTTGAATCTGTTATCTCCTCTTAATTAGAACCCTTCTTGATTTGAAGGTGAATTAAAAAAGTGTTGCTAGCTACTTACTTTTGAATGTCTATATATTAATTAAGTTTTCTTGCTTTCCCTTAAGAATAGTGATTAGAAAAACCTCACAGTGCATTAGCTAAGAGGAACAGAAGATAATTTCTTGGGATAAAAAGCCTTGCGCTTCACACAAAGAAGTGCAGTATGCTTCTACATCATAATCTTGTTAAATAGTTGTTCAGGGAGAAGGCAGTCTCATGGCACTAGACTTAATGGCACCTGTGGTAGACACTTCCCATTGTAAATTAGCTTTTGTTAGACAGTTTAGATAACTTGGAAGAAATGGTTGAGTACCTTGAAAACTGACTGTGATTTCTTCCTTAAAGTATCATCAAGAAGAGAAAATACTAGTTTGAAAGTGATGTTCTTTTGCTCAGAATTGACTCACTGCAATTTTAGGCACCAAAAGTATTTCTAAAATTGTGAGTTGTATGATGTTATTCCTTTCCTAGCATCTTCCTTCCAGACTGCCTAAAATTAGAACCTTGTTATGGGGAATTAATTACAATTTTTGTTTCAGTTCCAGTAGAAAAACAATTTAAAAAAAATAAAGGGATTATTGTGATATTCTAAGTTGCTACAGTAGTGTAAGACAAGTCTTAAATGACATGCCGCTATTCAATTAATTTTGCAGAAAGAGCACTTGTTACCAGGGTAAGTAAAACAAATGTGAATTTATATATTATCAGATTCAGTAATGTATTATATGTTGAAAATCAGAAAAGTAGAAGTAGCGCTGTCTTTAACTGGAGATGCATGTCGGATGTAAAAGAAAATTTCTAATAATTTCATGGATGCATAATTTGAACTAGTCAATGGATTCTCCTAAGAACTTTGGAGAAGTTGCTACTAACAATTTTGTAGGCAAAACTGATCCTTCCTGGAGATTAGGAGATGATGTAGATGACCTCATCAATTCCCACTGTCCCTGTTTTATGTGATTCCATATTTAGTCACCCCTTGAAACACAAACAAAAATCTGTTTCTAAAGATCCATGATTTCTCCTAGGCTTGACAAAAAGGGGGCTGAATCAAATTTTGCTGATAAGTGGTGCTTTGAAAAAAACAGGGAATCAGCTGCAGGGAAATGGAATTATTGATCCTTGAACAAAGAGGCCTGTTAAAGCCCTTCTATGAATACTGGAATTCTGAAGTGTTTACCTGGTCAGGGTAAAACTGACACCTTGCTGTTTAATACATGGAAAAAAAATACTAGCCAAAATTCATTAGAATTCGATTGAGAGTCTGAAAACTGTGCTCTTTCAATACTTGTTGGCAGGTAGCATTTGTATACCCTGTAGATCCGACTGTGTTTTAACACTTGTAAAGGCCTCTGTTGATCTCCCTATCATTCAGAGGGATTTCAGTCCTTCCCTACTCTGAGAAAACTAATTTAGATTGGTGAGGTTTTACCTGAGCAGCTGCTGATGTGAATTACAGGATACCATAGTGTTAAGTACACTTCTGTTCCTTACCAATTATTACATAACACTTCTAAAGAAAAAGAAACCTTTGGGCATGGGGTTCTAATATAGGAGCCAAAAGTCCAAATTCCTTAATGAAATGATTGCTTCTTGTAATTTTTATAGAGAATGCGATATTAAATTGAATGCATAACATTTTCATTACTTTATAATCCCAAGCCGATAAAGTAGCTAAAACAAAAATGCCACATTGGAGAATAAGATTTGAGTCCTCAGGAGTTCAGACTGATTTAGGGTTTGCTTTCAAAGGGAAAGGACTTGAAAATAGTGTCTAGATTAAGCTGGTTACACTTTTTCTGGAGTCAAAGCAATCCAGTATTTTACTAAAATATTAAATTAACTGCATGGTTGTTGTGTGTTGCTGTGAGCTGTAGAACGTAAAATGGTGGGCACATTTCCTTGGTATTCTAGTTGCCCTCCTGGATCTGCATAAGAATCTTTTCATGACTTTATGTAGATAATTTCAAAAGGCAAACCAAAGGAAATTTAGCACAGTGTGTGTGGTAGATTTGAGTGACAGGAAGGTAAGAGTAAGCCTGAGAACTGGAGGTCAACTGTTTCAGGAACAATTTAGGCCATAAAAGGGAACGATGGGTAACAGAAAATGTCACCCACAGCTGATGTGGGTGAGCACTTCCTACTCCTGACCTTGAGGATGTGAAGTTTGATTTTGGTAAGGAAAAAGGTAGTGTATGTAAGGATTTGAGTAGGGGCATTGTGAACATAACGATATTCATGGAAAAAGTGTTCCTTTCTCCCTTGCAGTTAAAAAGACTCTATTGACTAAAAGTTTGGAAAATGAGATCTTAAACTACTGAGAGCCTCTTGGCCTGGGGCATAATGATCTCAAGCCTATTCAGAATTATCAAAGGCTTTGTTTGTGTACAATTGATGAAAGCCTACAGAAAGTATGTGTTTTCTGTTTTCTCTTCATGTATAACGTGTGTTTAGAAGAACACTGTTCTGTGAGAAAGTACCAGCTTGTTCTGGAGCTTTGCTGTGATGAATGATTTGTTTGGAGTTTACTTAGGTCATGACTGTCTCA